GGGGTTGACATCATTATGCAATTTCCATTAGTATGCCCAATTTTATTAAAATATGTACATGGGAGGTACTCATTCATAGGTGATAGCTTGAGTGATAACATACCTTCCCCATTGATAAAATTGATTTGCTGAGGGAAGTTTTGGTTCACTTGAACTTCGATTTGAATACGTGCATATGCCCATTTCCTTCTAGATTTAGTCTCTCTATCCCTCATGATAGGTGGTCCAATAGTACTTCCCAACCTACTTAGTCTAGATGGACTCCAGTATTTCAAATCCAGAGCAGGAAATTGAACATGCACATCCTTGAGACCCATCACTTCTACTTTGCATCCAGGGTACCATTTTTGGAAAAATACTGGCTTGTTATCCATAAAGTAATACTTCGATTTAATGATTTCATCCTTATCTTTCTCCTTTCGAAATCTAACTATGAATTGGCTTTCCTTAAGGAAGGATATGTCATCATTTCATATGATTTCTAAATCCGAGTGAGAAACCCATTGATTATTTCCAACGGGGGGTTTGCTCTCAAAATGCAATAGATTTCGCTGAATTCCAGTAAATGCCTGATTCAATGACGTCTTCTTGTGTTAGATGCACAATAGGTTGTCATCGATCATCTCAGCTTGTATAAACCTCAAATCCAGATTGAGGTCGTCTTGATTTCACATGACTTCTTCATTACTTTTCCTCAATTTTGTATCAAATTCCAATGCATTATTTTGTATTGGATCGGGTTCTGGAGGGATTGGTATAATGGCGAATCCCTCTTTGCGAACAGGTTTTGAAAATATCACTTTCTCTTTGTCAGATCCCTTGAATTGGTGCAAGATGTCGTTGCAAATGGTGTTTGCTTCCGCTTTCCCGCATGTGAAAAAGCCACAACATCTCCGATTAATTTTTCTTCAGCTTTGTTGGAACACACTTTACAATAATATTTTTACTAACATTGTGTTTGTTTTTTGATAGGTTTTGATGAATGTCAAATCACCGTGGATATGAAAATCATCATTGAACAACCCAAGGCGTAAAAGAAGGTATGGCTCAAGAACAAAAGAATCAAGAAGAAAGATCAAGATGAAGACTTAGGTTTTGGATGAGTTGGTCTTATTGTGATCAAGACCAACATTGTTTTTAAGTCTTGGTTCTCAAAAGCTAAAAACACATTTTTACAAAATAATGAACTGTTTTTATGCATCAAAAAATGATTTTTAAAAATGTTTTAAGTTTCCAAAAACTTATAGTCTTTGCTCAAACCAAAACCACAACGTTTGGCCTTCAGCGCTGGGCATTTGATTTTCAGAGTCGGTTTTTTGCGTCTGGATCAACCAAGTGGTTTTTAACCTTCTATGATTGGTCTTTACTTTTGGGCATATTAAAAAGGTTTCCAAGCAATTACTCTCTAAAAACTACCTTTGGTTTTTGGCCTTTGGTAAAAAACCATGAAAATCATCTTTAACTTAGTCATTCGTGTTTTTCACCTTAACGACATGGTTTTTAAGTTTTTATACTTGGTTTTTTACTTTACATACATCTTATAAATTTTTTCAACACTTGGTTTTAAATCTAGAAAATTTTGGTTTTTGACATTAATTTTTGGGGGTTTGTCACTTTTAGACAAAACATTGATGTAGGGTTCACTACAGCGCTCTTTTGGGAAGGCCTGGAAATCATAGTCCTGGCACCAAGGACTTGAATAGTGACGTAGCACATAGTACAGTGTTATATGATTAAGTCTGGGAAATCCAAGCTGAACCTTGAACAACCATGTACAAGTATGAACAGCGTTGTTCACTCATGAATGAATATATTTAAGATAAAATCTTTCTTTCTTTAAAAGTCAACCATCAAAATAGTGATGTAGGATGCTCTATAACGTTGTTCATGTGATAGTTGGGCTATTCTAAAGGAAATTCAATAGCTAGAATATCGATGTACACCTTGCTACATCGATCTTCACACCATTTTTCAGTAAACAACCTCAAATCATGCCTAATCAACCTTATTTTCTCTCAACCATTGCACCAAATTCTTGGGTATAAAAACGGTCTTTTGGGCCTACTTTAACACATAATTCTTCACACTTTCAATACATTTTCATTACATTGGTCATATTCATTTTTCATAGTTTTTTGAAAGCCATTTCTTGTAGATATTGTTGTGTTCTTGAGCGTTCTTTATTTTTACTCATATCTACTCTTAAAGAGAGTCTTATTCTTGACTATTTCAGTGTTGTATACACTTGAAGGGATGATTGTGATGTTGTTAGTTATGAAGGAAGAGTATATTCCATCTAACACCTCAATCCGCGTAACCCGAACCAATGAGTCAGCGAATCAGGGTGTTATTAATTTGGTATTCACATGCACCATATTTTAAAAAACATTTAATAATAAAACATTATATTCAATCATATTTTATGAATCAGAAAAAAACATGTTTATACGGTTGGACTAAAAATCCGCATATTTTAACATATTTTATGAAATTATACGTATACGCAAGTATAATACGTGTATTATACATACGTAAGTATAATACGCGTATTATATGCATATTAAGTAACTAGGTTCTCAAATTAAGACTATTGCTTTGATTTACATGAATTTCATAATAACATATACTCCCTCCGTCCCTGAGTGTTTGTCCACTTTCATTTTTACACACCATCCAATGCATTTCTTTAATCCATTTTATCTTGTAATTTGTATATTATTAAAAAATTATAAAAATTATATATTAATAATCTATATGTTAAGACGAATCAAACAAGATCACACATGACTATTTTTAGGCTTACACATTGAGAGGATTTGATAAGTCAAAGTGCTTAGATGAATAGTTCCAAAAGTTAAAAGTGGACAAACACTCAGGGACGGACCAAGTATTCCTTTTCAAAGTACTAGCTACTTGAATATTAGTCTAGAATATCCAATATGAATTTTGTAGATATTTTTTAGGATTAAAAGATATGAAGGCATGAAATATCTTGAATTTATGATTCTCAAAATTTGCAAAATAAAAATATAAGCTTAGAGTTAAACAAATACTCGAATTTATGATTCTCACCTACTCAATCTCCTTGAGGAATGCAAATATTTTGTACTATTTAGAAGAAACCAATTCTTTTAATTACGGAGTACAAAATATTGGCATGCTCGAAAAATTTAGAAAAAGTGTTTAAAATTATGAAAATAGGGAGATATTCACTATTTAAATTATTTTAGACTATTCTTTCGTGGAATTTAATTCACAAAATGTAAATTTGTGATATTTGTGATCACTTTATTTATGATCCAAATACTTCTGTCCCACAAAATCTTTCTGATTTTGATTTTTACAGAATTTAAGAGAAGTGTATTTTTGTGTTTATTTCCCAAAAATGTGCTTGCATGTAATGCGTAAAAGTAGAATGTGATAGGTAAATTAATAGTGAATAGATGTGATGTGATATGTAGGTTAATTTTTAGTATGAGTAAAAATGATTATTCAATAGAAATAAGAAGAGAATTTTGGATCAAATGAAAAAAGAAAGGAGAAAGTTCTTGCAGGAGCAAGGAAGTATGACTTTTCATTTTAAGAAATACTCCGTTCGTCTTAGTGTAATTGTTCAATTTGACATTTTTGAGTCAAACTTGATAAACTTTAAGTTTTAATTAAATAAATACCGAAATATATTTTAATATAAAATGAATTTTAAACTTGACATATTATATTTTAATATGTAGTCATATCATGTAGGAACGTAAGTCGTCCAAACCAAAGCCAAGCCCCTGCAGCCCTCTACTTTTTGTTTATCCTCTTTCACACCACCTCGTCGGCGGCGTGTCCACCCCTATGCGGGAACACCACCGACCCTCCTCCGCCGCCGACGAAGCCTCCACCATGCGGGAACAATATCACCCACCTGCCACCACCGCCACGGCTACCTCCAAAGTCCCCGGCCTCGGCCCCAGGACATAGAGAGCCTCCGCCATGCCGGAACAACATCACCCACTCACCTCCACCGCCACTGATGTTGTCTATAGATTGCATCGGGAAAGGAAAAAAAATAAAATATCCGAACTTATAAATTGTTCAGATTTACAATTGAGAAAATTAAAAAATAGACTGCTAAAATAAGGAGGATGAACAGATTCTGCAGAAGGTTGAGCACCGCTAGATTCGAAAAAATAAAAAAAGCAGAGTCGCCGGAGCGGTCCTTAAGGTAGTATCCCTTAAGGTAGTATCATCTGCTTTCTGTACTGGCTCACGTGGATGATCTCCTCCTAGGATGAAACCGCTAACGTGCAAGGTCTAGAGCGGCAAAACTGTGCACTGATGAACTGGAACAAAGGAGAGTTATTCATCTGAAAAATGATCGGAGATTGAGAAAGAGAGAGAGTTGGGAATTCTTTTTGGAACATAGAGATGTTTTGTTCGAGTGTCTTTGCTCTACTCTGAGAGGCTCCTTATACAGGAGTGGAAGGACTTCGGCTAGTCAGTGGGCGGACGAAACGAAGAGTCGTCAGATACCCTTCAGAGATGCATGTATGTCTGACTCTCGCTTTTGTTATTAACAAAGTGCTCACACGTGTTCAATTTGATCTCGTAAAAAGATAAGAGTTGGTCCACGCCCTCGCACACACGCAGACGCCAACAGGCATTCGCCCACGCGCGTGCTTGTCGTGACGTGCCGAGCTGGACAGACGGCGGTGCGCGAGGGATCATTTCCTTCTTCCTCAAATTTCTTTATCATGCAATTCAATGATAGCATATAAGGGGTTGTTTGTTTCAGCCTTTTAATGGTTCAGATGTCTGAATGGTTTAGCACTTAATGGTTCAGACTGTTTGTTTCAGCCATTTAATGGTTCATATGTCTGAATGGTTCAAACATTTGCCTCTGAATGGTTAAATATTATACAGAGTCTGAATGGTTAAGACCTCTTATCTGAATTGATCAGACATTTGCCTCTGAATAGTTAAACAATATACTAGCTCTTAATGGTTCAAACCTCTTACTGGTTCAGTATTTAATGGTTCAGACTTCTTACTGGTTCAGCACTTACGTATTCAGAAGTTGCCAAACAGCCCCTAAATAGAGGAAGATAAAATGTCTCAAATCCGATGTGGGATAAGTTGGTTTTATTCTTCCCAAGTGTTTGACTTTGTGATTTAATTTATCATTCAACCGAGTACCACTTTTTGCGCACAATATATCGAAACACTCCTCCACCTACCACATTAGAGTTTGAGTATAATGTGAGTATGAAGACCTTATCCTCACTTGAAAATAGAGAGACTCCCCACCCAAACATAGAAGTACAAATAAATATAATATCATAGACAAAAACAAGACCATAAACACAAGAACCAAAATTTCCAACACTATAATGAGACACAAAACACAAAACTACAGGGGAAAAAAAGGACCTGCAACTCATTTTCCATAGAGGATGGTGATCAATGTCCTGTAAGCAGGCCCTCTCTTGTTCTTTAAAACCTCTCTCACTCCATCCTCTTCAGGCACGGCTCCTTTCTTCTTCAGCATTTCCAGCAACTCCTTCCCCTCCTCCTCCATGCCCGCCTCCACCAACCCTTCGAAGCTCCCGACACACGTGGCTGCATTCGGCTTCATTCCCCTCTTCCCCACCATCTCCGTTACGTACTTCTTCGCCTCCTTCACCAGCTTCCGGTCGCCACTCCCCGCCAGAGACTTGATCAGCACACCGTACGTGTACGCGTTGGGAAGCACGCCGGAAACCAGCATTCGCTGGTAAGCTTTGTGTGCTTCTCTGGGCTGCCCTGCGTCACTGTACGCCTCGATCACGGCCGTGTGGGCCACGATTTCCGGCATCACGGACTTGTCTTTGATCTGGGAGAAGAGCTCCAGTGCCTCATGTGTCAAACCGTCCTTGGACAATCCGTCGAACATCTTGACTGCATTGTTGAAAAAGCCGTCGGAGCGCATGTTGTGGAACACCTCCGGTAGGTTCTTCGGGTCTTTGGGCTCCTCTATAACCGGTTTCTTGTTAAACGGGTCGTACGGAGGAGGAAGCTTGGATTTATCGATCGCCTTCGCCGGAGATTTATCCGGCTCCTCCAGGTCCGAATCCTCCCCATCCGAATCGGACAACGAGAAATTGACCAAGGTGTTGCGCCTCCGAGGGGGTTGCGGGTCGGCGGCGGCGGTTGAGCAAAACCTAATTCCGTGGCGTGGTTGCGAAGCCAATAGATGGCGAGAAGACGATGGAGTAGGAATTGCAGGCTGGGAATGGGAGAGAGAGAGGGGCGGTATGCCTTTGCAGAGAGATGAAGAAGCGATGGTGCGGAAGATGAACCGCCGTGCAAGGGTCGCCGGGGCCATAGTTTACGGCGGACGAAATATCGACTCCGGCCAACTAGTGAATGTCGTAACTGGTAACTCCAGATTTCTAGAACTCCTGTCTGTCCAGACCAAAATAGAAATATTATGATATGCACACACTTTTCCGGTCGATTTTAAAAAAAATAATTTTAATATTACTTCTCTTTCATAAAACGGTTCCTATATTGACTTTTAAGAAAAAAATAAAATGGATTCTATTTTGATTTTAAGAGAAATAAAAAGTGTATATATATATATATATGTATATATATATATATGTTTGACCTTTTAGTTTTCTCCTTGATATAATGAATAAAGTAAGATACGATGGATAAATTATTAGTGAAAAAGTATGATGTAATAGGGAAGATAAGAAAAATAAGGATAAAAGTGGGAGTATTTTGGGAAAAATGAAAAGATAAAAGAGAATGTGTTTTAAGAAAAGGGGGGAGTACTTATTTATCCATCTGGTCTTGAAATTTATACAGAGTACTAAATTTGAATCAATTGGTTCCGGTATTGGGTTGGGTATATTTGTAATAAAAATTGACGCCTTCAGGTTTGTAGAATTGATAAAAAATTAGTAAAAATACTACCAATGAAAAACATCTTAATTGAATAAAAACAAAAATAGGACTAATACGTAACTATTCAGTCCAAGAAACAATAATTATGATATTTACTTTTTCTTTTAAAAAAAACTCATTCTTCAATGAAGAAGGTAAATGATAAGGTATAATACCTTCTTCAATTTCAGAGAGGTATTTTTACCTTTTCCAGGTGAGCATGATACGGTATTTAGCTCGTACGGATATCGTGCCAAACACTTCAATTTGGTATGTGATTTTACGTTCTACCGATCCTAATCCCAAAGTTTCAGCTCGTTATAGTCGGTATTGGTTTCAGAATAAATCAGGATGAATACATGTACACCTAACTTAAACTTTAAAATGTCACAAAAATATTTATTTTTTAAAAATTGAAAGTATATTTAAACAAAAATACATAAAAAACATAAAATAAATTATTAAATGCAAGAAATGCTTATTAAATTTAGTTTATATCTCACAAATTACAGTGAACGGATCATAACAAAATGATATTTTAAATGTGTGTTACTATGTTTAAATTCTTCTACAAAAAATTAAAACTCAAATAAAAGTACAATGTAAGCATAATAAAATTTGAACCAAATTTTAAGAACAAACTTATTATTCAATGAAAAAATGTAAAAAGATTATTATCTTTATAAAATATTAGTATATATATTCAGTTCGAGATTTTCAGTATGGGAAATTATCTCGTACCGTTCCCACATACCAAACCGAAAATTTAGTTCAGCATTTTAGCGGTATTTTTTGGTTTGGTATTTTTCGATTCAATTTTCTCAGTTTTTCCAGAAATTTTCGGTATCGGTTCGGTACTTGTCCAACCTTACACAATTTTATCCTCTCCATACAAATGGTAAACACAAAGAAAATACCAAACAAACACTCAAACATACCCAAACAACAAACACAAGCATACGAGACTAATAAGTGACCATATTCACCAGACAAGGGTTTTGCTTATTAACTCATTAATTTATAAAAGGAGTATAATAAAAAGGCAAAAAATATAGGTATCCTTCAGGTCAAGACGTGAATGCCTCGGGGAGAGGGCTTAGTTGCCTCGCGGGGATGGTTATGACCGCCCTCGGGAGAGGACTTTGGCACCTCGTGGAGAGGCTTATAATTGATAGGTGAAGATGGCAAAACATGAAACGGGGAACTAAGAAAAGAAAAAATAGGTGTTCTGTTGGAAAATAAAAATTACACTCATGCTATACCTTGTAGGAACTAGTGTTACTAGCTCTGCAAAGTCTTGAAAATTAGACTAATGGGGTGTTGACATGTGACATTTCTTGAGGGAATCTCATGTTCCATAAAACTACTATGCAGAACAGAAAGACATATACAAAAAAGCTACAATTTCAAGCATTTGTTGAAGATGTAATTTTCAAAAGAAATGAGCCAAAAGTTGAGTGAAAAAAACAATGACAAACACACCCTATAAACCAAAGGGAAGTGAGTCATTCATTAGCTCGCGGTGAGAAGAAGATACGATCATTTGGTGTTCTTGAAATCATCTAGAAATTGTTGAAGATCTTCAAGTTTGGCATTATGCAGACCTGCAGGTGAACGGCATTATAAAAACACAGATTCTTGGTATGCTTTGAACAAGTAATTTTGCATAGATGAGCCAATGATGAAGAGAACTTGCCAGAATGGTCACCATTCCCATGATTGTTCAGTTTGCGAACTTTCCCTGCTCTCTCGTGTTCAATCTCAGTAGACATCCGAGTTAGCCGCTTCTCCATGGACGAACGGAACTCTGATGCACTTGTTACCAGCTCTGGACCCACACAAGTTTAAGATATATAAACATCGACTGTCTAGCTGCTTCACAGCAGCTAAGGATCATATTTGGAAATGTTCAAATGTCTGATTTCATAGTTAGAGCTTGGTGACATATTGCAGCACAAGGATCAGAAATACTTCACATTTGATTGAAAAATAAAACCCAAAATCTCTGATTTTTCTGCAAGAACTTATTCAAATTCAGAAAGGAACTGTGGGCTTCTAATTGCATTCGATGACAACATCATATTAGAGGAGCGTTTACCTGCAAACTTATCGTGCACACCCAGTTCGTTATAAAACTGTACCACTTTATCAAGAGAGGCTGCAGATTGTTTACTCATGCTACACTGCCTTTCCAGTGCTTGTAGCTCTCTTTTGAGGTCGGCAGACTCTTTACCTACCTGATTCGAAAAATACCATATGGGACAAAATAATTTTAAAAGCTTATCCTCCCAACACATCACATTATCATGTACCTGAGCGAGTTTGTTTCGCAAGGAATCCAACTGTGCATCCAGTTCTGCATCACGATCCAAGCAAGTGTCACCAGGCGGTTCATCCTAAAGAGCAGTGCCCAAGAAGACTTTTAAGCCAATGTAGGTGAAATACTGAAATTGAGCTATGTGCCCAAGTCACAAGCTAAATTTAAACACATCCATGGAAAACAAAAAAACAAAAGTCTCTTCACTTCGGATAAAGCTCGAGACCAATTCAAAACTTCAGGTAAAATAATAATGGACAGGGGGCAATAGGAACTTTTCCCAAACACTAATCGACAATTCAACAACTCATTTGTCTAAATGACAACATAGTTTCATCTAATGATATCCTTAATTCTTAACCCACAAACCTTAGGCAAAGAGAACCCTTCTGGTACCATAAAACACTGATTCAAACAGTATTTCTCCCACACGCTTAGACGATTGTCCACCCTCAATTGAACCATCTTGCGAATGTAATCCACACCCTGCAAAACCCAACCATCAGTCAAAGAAAGAGAGGGAAAAAAATCAGAAAATATAAAAAAGGCCAGAATTTCAATGAGCAACACTATAGATCTGCGAATTGAGATTCGTCATTGCACAAAGCGAACCTTTTTTAGATCTACGGATCGATCTGTACCCTCGATTTTTAGACTCTTTTCTCCCTCCCTACAGGTAAAAAAACTATCTTGAATGGAAACTCTGCTCCCGCATATGTAAATGTATACAATTATACACGGAAATAAAACATGCATTGTATAGAGAGAGAGAGGGAGAGGGAGAGCTCGTACTGCTGGAAGAAATCAAAAGCTTCATTTAAAATGATGTTCACGGAATCGACGACCTCGTTGATGAATAACTTAGGGTTTAGACGGTAGGAATGGAAGACTTCCTCGCTCAGGCTGCCCTCCATTTTCACGATTTCTTGTTCTGTGGTGAGCTCCACAAAAAACCTTGAAATTGGGATTTCAAAAGTTACAAAAACCGCGAATTCCTAACCCAAAAATATCCGCAATTTGCTTTTTTGTTCGAAACAAAATTAGTCCGTAATCTTTTTGGTTGGGCATGAGCCCTGTGATGTGGTGTGTGGGGGAGGAAATTGATCCACAAAATAACTCACGCTGATGCGAGTTTTGTTGAAATAATTCTCAGGTCCCTCTATTTTCAAGAAGACAGCAGAGGTCCTTACATTTTGTTGTAATGACTGGAAGGGGACATTTCATCCAATATTTCATCTATAAATGTTAATAAATGTATTTTTTCCTTATTCTTTTCTAAATGTTTTAAGGTAATAAATCTTAGGTCGCTCCTTTTTTTATTTCTTTGTTTTTCTTTCATTTTGTTACTATTTTTTAAAGTGTTATTTTAGAATTTTTTCTATAAAATCGTATAAAAATTCAAAATTGTTTGTATTATATTAAAACAAATGAAATAAAAAAAATTTAAAAAAATAAAAAACAAGGTAATGGCAAAATAGGAAAAAACGGTATTGGAAAAATAGGAAAAAATACATTTATTAACACTTACGGATGATGTATTGGATGAAATGTCCCCTCCCAGTCATTACAACAAAATATAAGGACCTCAGTTGTCTTTTTGAAAATAGAGGGACCTGAAAGTTATTTCGACAAAACTCGCGTCACCCACGAGTAATTTTCTGGAAATTGATCTTTTTTTGTAAGCAATACACTTTCAAATTATCACTTTATTTTTTAAAAAAATTACATGGTACATTGGGATGTATGATATTTTTTTATATATTTGCGTGAATATTTATTTTCAAGTAATTATAAAATATAAGTTTTGTATATTTATTTATTTTAGTATTTATTCAAAATATGTATATTATAAATTATATGTACTCATTGCGTTTGAGAACTATATGATACTCACTATGTTTATACAAAATATATATTTGACGGATACCTTAAGAACCGAATATCCGACTCAATGAAGAACACATCAAAGCTCAAGTTTAAAGGCCCAAAAAAGAAGTGATAGGTCAAAAAGGAGGCCTAGTGCTGCTCGATTGATGTATAAAAAAGTGGTTGAAGCTTGTCTAGATTCTATGCTCGTCCATGTGTGGGCCAAGTGTGATCCCAGTCGAGAAGCTGAAGATTGATCCTTTTGTGTTCGAAGATCTAGGCTTAAAGTAAACTTATATGTATGCTTGGCCCAAACCTTGTCCAGATATTTCTGTAGGCATGACCTGCATGCCAAATGCTCTTTCATGAAGGCCAAGCTACCTCTTGTTTGCCTATAAACAACTCTCATCGGGTTGAGGGGAGGAGATCGATCTCATTTTTAAGTGAACTAACTTAAAGATATTGTCTCTTTAAGGAATTTTTTTTTTCTCTCGACTCGAGTCTACAATTTCCTTCATTTGTGTTCTCATTCAGAGTTGCAAACTTCATCAAGTTGCTCTTTGATCAGTTTCACAGTGTTTACTAGGGGTGAGTACGGGTCAGGGTGGTTCAAACTTTATACAATCCCGCGTTTTGTCCAATTTTTTAAACGGTCCAGAATGGTTCGGTTTTCAAGTTTATCCCTCTTTGTCCCTTAATATTCGTGATCAGGTCATTGTTCAAAATTAAATATAAAAATATAAAATACATAATAGGAGACAACCTGCTTTTGACTTGTAAAGTAATTTTAAAAAATGATATCTTTGTTTAGAATGTTTTCAAGAAGTCAAAACAATAAGGAAACACAATAAATGTTACATAATGCATCAAAAGTCAAAACTATAAACTTCATGTAAACTACGAACCACAAATTGGGGTGGATCAGGTCAGAACGGTCTGAATTTTTAGGTATTTTGGTCCTAGTCCATTTTTTAAAATATTTGAATCTGAATACTTTTTTATACTTACTTTGGGAAAAAGAAAAATTGTGATACTCCCTCCGTCCTATAATGATCTTCCCGGTTCGCAAAACGAAGAAAAATCCCAAGTTTTTTCAATCTATTTTATTTAAATATTGGTATAGAAATAAAAAATAAAACATATATATTTAAAAACTACACCAAAAGTTCAACAAAACAAGTGGTGACAAGAATATTTTATTTTATCATATAGGCCATGAAAAAACACAAATAAATATAAATTCTCGTGAAATTGAAATAGTGCTCTGGGAAAATCATTATAGAATGGAGGGAGTACTTTTTAGTGTTGTATCATTATGTAAATAAATAAATATATACGTATACATGGGACAATGGGAAGGAAAAGGAAAATATTTATGTGTCGCAGTTTCGTCCCATTTTAAAACAATTTGAAATAGGTACACGACAAAATATGTGGGTTGGGACAACGAGTTCTAGATTCTTGCCCATTCCAAGTGTTTAGTGATCACAGTGATGGTGCTACAACAAAGGAATAATGTTTTGATGGCTATACGGTGGCTTTGGGATGTCGCACACTATCGCGAATCTCAATCTAATTGAAACGATAAAAATATAATCATTGAATCGAATTTGACTTCCTCTTTGGATCTCTATGACTAGGTGAATAATAAGCGGTCATCTCACGGTGATGCTAGTGTTTGAGGTGATCTACGTGATCGTGTCTGCATCTGTGGGGATGCAGCACGACAAAGCAGAAAGAGTGACCATGTAGTCTAATGGAAGGATTGTCAAAAGGAATGTCAAAGTTCTACAGGAAAATCAGACAAATTAAAGATTCAACCACTCGCGACAGTATAGCTAGAAGTACAATCGCTGGAGGGTGGAAGGTTGTTATTAATGAACCTTGCAAGCTTTATTGCAACTCTTTTAGCATTGATGCAACAGGTGCCAGGTGGCGCTTACAAGTCTATGAAAATTACATAGTGCTCGTAGGAATCCCTCCTCCTTAGACTCCTAGTTGGCTCTCTTCTTCCCCAACCGACTTTGAGGAGTGGATGAAAAAAGGGGTTCAGATCTCAATTGGCATTTAGTGAAGTATTTTATCGGTCTAAATCAGATATATAACTTATTTTTTTGAAGGTCTCACAGGGAATTGTATATTTTCCATTATTCAATAAGATGTGAAAGAGGAGTTTTAGACACTCCACATCCGTTTCAAAGGGTTAGGGCCCTAATGTCTTTGTATGCCATACATTGGGGAAGGGGTGGGGCTCAATAAATTCCATATGGAATAATCTCACGTGTCGCTAGTTTACTTTCTCTTGTATAAGACGATCACTGAATGAAATAAAACTACGATCGTTGTCCACGTGGTACTCCTTGTAGGAAAAAATATAATGACTGAATTTTGAAGATCATGCGTAAATTTAAAAATATGCAAACTTAAACATGGAAGGAGTGTTTAAAAAGTACGGTAAGATTCGTAGCTATGGAAGATTGGTAGACATTGGTGGTAACTATGCTTATTATTTAGACGAAATATATCACGTAAAAAAATTAAATTTTTTTTATTCCAAAATAAGACTAGTACCATGTAATAATTTGAAATTATATATTGATACTTCATAATGTTTTTAAAAAAAATATTTTGAGACTTTGTTATTACTATTTTGAAGATAAAAATAAAAAGAATGGGAGCTCATACTTTCTTCCTGTTTTCATCCTAGTTTACGGCTTTATTACCAGAGAGAGGTGATGACAAATTAAACATAAAGTCGCGTTGATTTTCCCAAGAAAACATGTAACCGTAACCAACACAAATTTCAAAAGCAAGTTACAGGATGAACATGGAAGAAGAGCTCGAGCAGGATCGGAGAGCAAAACCTACTCTAACTGCTCCTGAACTTCCGACGCAGTGACTTCAATCCCGTCCAATTCTCAGGTATTCCATTAATAATCCGTTGAATTCATGCGAAGCTTGCATTTTCTGCTGATTCGCTTCGATTTAGTTTCACTTTTCACCTCGTTCCTTCAAATTTGCGTCCGCATTTTCTTCTGATTTGAGTGTAATTATGAGAACTGGACTGGTTTTTAAGCATTGCTCTGATCTTGTCAAAATTAGAGTAAGTACGGTTGTGGTTGTATCTGGTTCAGCTCTGTAATTGAGCTGTTAGTTGGACTGGAAAATTGTGAGGGGTGGGAGAAGAGATTGGGAGAAAACGGATCAAGGCCAAGGTTAGATTGAGAGAGGGTATCATAAAACCAATCAGAGACACTTATTTTCAGAATTTCTAAAGATGTCTTTATGATTGTTCAAAATAAAGAAATGACAAATGCAGGCCCACCAAAACTATTGCAATCAATCAATTGTTCTGACTGAAAATGAAATCAATTAATCCCTACCAAAACTTCTGCCTGGAGGCAGTCAACTTAGGTCAAATAAGTCTATCCAAAGATGGGATGTGGTCATTGTATTCTTTCAAGTGTTGAGTATCGAACCTTGGAGCGACTGAGTTTGGAAGGGATGCTTGCAGAGGGTGGAGGTGGTATGGATAGAACTTCGGGTAGGAACCTTGAGTTGCCCGTTAACATAACATCCATTTTACGAGAGTACGAGACTGTAGATCTCATTGGGAAGTGTATGGGCCCACTTCCTAAGGGTTTCTAGAGTCTGCAAATGCAGATTTCGCATGGATATTTGGACTGCTTGAATCATAACATGGACATCATGGGACAAAAGGAATTAAATACAAATACATATTAACAAATATAATCTCTGTCCCAAAAAGAGTCACGTTTGCTATACTAGATATTCTAAAACTAGCGTTACAAACACAACTCTTTTTTTTGGGACGGTCACAGAGGGAGTATTTTCCAAGTTGCTTTTTGTATAGGTAGAATGCATAGTTTTATTGAAGCTCATTAAAGTTTTGAACTTAAAAAATGATGGATTGAAGTAGTTGTTGCATTCTTCTAATTGGTAATATGTTCAGTTGTTCACTCTTAAAGATGAAAAAGAGACGTTTATTTGCTAAATTTTATGAGATATCTTATGTTAATCTGTCAAAATGGGATTCACGGCCTAAAACTCCACATTACTTGATGTTCCAAATTAAGTGCAATGTGCTTCTTTAATTTTTGCCAGTACCTGAACTCGTTCATTTATTTGGTACACCCACAGTAGTGGTTTGATTATAGCGACATTTTTATGCATATAATATTTCATTACATGCTCCTTAATTTTTTCAGAAATCAATGTGATTCAAAATTCATGGGAACTTCTTTGAAGCACAATTCAGCCAAATTTACTGATGCCAGAGACCCTGAAATGAATAAGTATATAAAGAACATGTATGGAGAACTGAAGAGCGGTAAACACCTGGTTAAATTATCCAATCAGTTTTACATGTGTCCCTACTGCCCTGATAAAAGAAGGGACTACCAGTTTATAGATCTCTTGCAGCATGCAAGTGGGGTTGGCACCGGAGGTTCACAGAAAAGGTCTGCAAGACACAAGGCAAATCATCTTGCCCTGGCTAAGTACTTGGAAAGTGAAATACCTCATAAAGCTGGTCCTTCTACAACAATCTGTGAGGCTAATGATAATGCAAAGGAGAATTTGTTGCAGAACAATGAGAAAAGTTCTGACATCTGTGCCTGGGTCGTTTCTGCAAAGGATTATAGTTCTGATAACATAGTAAGAAATGATCTTAGCACCCTGTCTATAATTATGGAAAAAGCTCAAAATACCAACATTTGCCCATACTGCCCCGAGACAAGAAATCGACGCTTTCAGTATAAAGATCTTGTGCAACATGCAAATTCCATTGGCAATTGTAATTCACTGAAAAGGACTGCAATAGACAAGGCAATTCATCTTGCACTAGGTAAGTACTTGGAAGGCCATATTACCGCTGGGTCTGGCCCATTAGAGAAAAAATATGATGCTAATCTTAATGGAAAGAAGAATATGTTTGCGAAGAATGAGAAAAAATCTCATCTTGGTGCACAGGTAGTTGACGCAGACTATAGTAATCATGATAAAATAGTTGAAGAAGATCTCAGCACTATGTCAAATATTATGGAGAAAGCTCGAATGACCAACATTTGTCCATACTGCCCCGAGAGAATAGATGGAGTCTTTCAATATAGAGATCTTGTGCAGCATGCGAAGTCAGTTGGAAATTGTTATTCTAAGAAAAGGACTGAAATAGATAAGGCAATTCACATTGCACTGGCCAAGTACTTGGAAGGTCACATTACTACTGGAGCTGGTCCTTCAAAGCCTCCTTTGCAGGTAGATGCAAATAATGAGAGTGATGAAATCTTTGTATGGCCTTGGGTTGGCATCATAGTCAATATTCCCACTAGATTTAATGATGGTCGATATGAAGGGGACAGTGGTAGTGAATTGAGAGATCAATTGGAAAGTAGAGGATTGGACCTAACTAGGGTGCGACCTTTGTGGAATTCCCAGGGCCATTCAGGTTCTGCAATTGTTGAATTTCATAAGGATTGGTCTGGATTTATCAATGCCATGTCTTTTGAGAGACATTTTGAGGCTAATGATCATGGAAGGAATAATTGGATGTCAAAGAATGGCACGGAGTCTGATCTTTATGCGTGGGTAGCTCGTGCAGATGATTATAATTCTAATAATATTGTAGGGGAAGATATCCGCATGTTTGGAGATCTTAGAAACCTATCAGATATTATGAAAGAAGAAGGTCATACTATTACAATGATGGGAGATATCCAGCATAAAGATCTTTTGCTGCACACAGAAGAGATTGGCAGTTGCAGTTCACAGAAAATGATTTCAAGAGACGCTGCAAATCGCTTAGTCCTGGCAAAGCATGAAGAACTGAAGAATGGTAAATACCAGGTTAAATTATCTTACCATTTTTACACATGCCCCTTCTGCCCTACTAAGAAGGGAGAGTTCCGGCATAAAGATCTTTTGCAACATGCAAGTGCGATTGGATGTTTAGAGAAAAGGACTATAATAGACAAGGTAAATCACCTTGCACTGGCTATGTACTTGGAAAGTGACATATTTACTGAAGCTTCTCTAACGACACCTTCTATGGAGGTAGATTCCCTTGCAGATCATGACCGTGATGAAAAGTTTGTGTGGCCATGGGTTGGCGTCATTGTAAATATTCCTATCAGCTTTATGGATGGTCATTATGTGGGGGAGAGCGGTATTGAGTTGAGGGATCAGTTGGCGAGTAGAGGATTTGATCCATATAGGGTGCGTCCTTTATGGACCTACCAAGGCCATTCTGGTGCTGCAATTGTTGAATTTCATAAGGATTTGTCTGGACTTACTAATGCCATGTCTTTCGAGAAAGACTATGAGGCTAAAGGTCATGGAAAACGGAATTGGCTGTCAAAGAATGAGAAGGGCTCTGATCTTTATGCATGGGTGGCTCGCGCAGCTGACTATAATTCCCATAACATTGTTGGAGAAGATCTTCGCAAGTTTAAAGATCTTAGAACTTTTTCAAATATTATGGAAGAAGAAGCTGGAAGGACAAAGATGTGCCCATACTGCCCTGAAACAAGAAAACGGGACTTCCAGTACAAAGATCTTTTACAGCATGCATCAGCGATTGGCAATTGCAACTCACTGAAAAGGACTGCAAGAAACAAGAAAAATCATCATGAACTGGCTAAATACTTGGAAACTCATGTAGCTGCTATAACTAGTCCCTCAAAGCCTTATGTGGAGGCTGATACCTTTGTAGATATTGATCCTAATGAAATGTTTGTCTGGCCATGGACTGGCATCGTAGTTAATATTCCTACTACCTTCAAAGACGGACATTTTGTAGGGGAGAGTGGTACTAAATTAAGGGATCAGTTGGCAAGTGGAGGATTTAATCCAACTAAAGTACGAGCTTTGTGGAATAACCAAGACCATTCTAGTACTGCAATTGTTGAGTTTCGTAAGGATTGGTCTGGATTTACCAATGCTATGTCTTTTGATAAATATTATCAGGCTAATCAACATGGAAAGAGAAATTGGCTGACCAAGAATGAGATGAAGTGTGATCTTCACGCATGGATAGCACGTGCAGATGATTATTATTCTAATCACATTGTTGGTGAAAATCTACGCAAGATTGGAGATCTTAGAACAATATCAGATATTATGGAAGAAGAAGCTCGAATGACCGCAAAACTAGTAGGCAATTTGTCAAATGCTGTTGAGGCAAAGAAAATGTGTTTGCTAGATATAAAGAGTAAGCTTGAGGAGACAGAAATCTCACTATGCCAGTTGATCAAGGAAAAGGCTCTTCGTCACGCATATAGTACTGAAGGTATTTCATGTTCAAAAGTTGAATGTTAACCAAGCTAATCAAATTGGACATAGGTTTAAACTTGACATTCTCTTATGCTTTGATCAGAGATAAAAAAGACTGAGTCAAGTGCTAGGGATCATCTTAGGAGGATATACAATTACCACGAGAAGCTGAAATTTCAGCTGGAAACTCAAAAGAGAGATCTTGAGCTCCGAGGTCAAGAACTAATGAAGAGGCAGATGCAAGATGAATTTAAGAGAAAAAAGCTTGCTGAAGACCTCAAGCAGGTGTTGCATATACTTCTTAGTTATTGGGGATTGTGCGATCTTATTTTTTGGACATTCTCAGTCTGGCTAGTCGATTTGGAGAGCTTAGCAATTAAAGGGTCCACACATTTCTCTCAAAAGTCGATGACCTGTATGTTTTCTGTGTGATATGCACTTTAGCAATGCCTGTGACATACTCTAATTCTAATTGTTTTTTTATCACCAATTTCTCATTTTCTTTACATGCATATGCTCCTTTCTGGTGTACCAAAAAAAACATACATGCACATCCATATATACTCAAAAGTTTGATGACTGTCTAGATGATAGAATTATATTCTTACACTGTAAACCATGCTCTAAAATTATATCCTCCCTCCATCCCAAAACCAACTTGTCTTTTGAGAATGGCACAGAGTTTAAGAAAATGAAAAAAGTTACTCAATTGCCCATACTTTAAGGTAGAAACGTGTAAAAAGGTAGTAATTGTAGTTGGTATTTGAGGGTAAGGATGTAAAGTAGATGTAAAGTACTTGCCATAAATGGAAATGTAGAGAAGATTTTGAGACAACCAGAAAAGGAAAGTGTAAACTTGTTTTTGGGACAGAATATAATTTTTACACCTTCCATTTTTTTTCAGAATGCGGTAAAATATGGCTCCCATCAAGCTGCTGCTGAGATAAAAAGAAAGGCGGATGAAAAATTAATGAAGTTGGCTGAGGTGCAGAAGGTATTTGGCTGCTCTAGTTCCTGTTACAATAATGATTGGGGTTGTTTCATGCATGAAGTTAAAACAGTTTTAAGAAAATGTGTACTGGTCTTTGTAATTTCAGAAACAAAAGGAAGAACTCCATAGGAGAATTAGTCAACTGGAGAAGAAACTGCATGCAAAACAAGCTTTAGAGCTTGAAATTGAGCAGTTAAGAGGTCAACTCAATGTGATGAAGTACATGGAGGATGAAGGTGATTCGGAAGTCTTAATAAAAGTCGAGTCATTGCTCAAGGCCTTGAGGGAGAAGGAAAGAGAACTTGGATATATGGAAACATTAAACCAGACTCTAATTGTGCAGGAGCGGAAGACAAATGATGAGCTACAAGATGCCAGGAGAGAGTTGGTTAATGTTAGTGCTTAAATTTTCTTCATTTGTGAAAGTTGACTTCACTCTTGCAATAGTTCTTAATTCTTCTCAATCGTGGTGTAATATGTCATGCATTGGACAAAATTTCAGTTCTGACATCCAAACCATGCAAATTACACATTTTTTTGTTCAAATGCCTATTTTTTTTCTCTATTTGGGTATGATGTTTAGGGATTAGCTGGGTTGTTGTTGTTGTGGGATTCACCTGGGTTGTTGTTGTTGTTGTTTAGGGATTAGCTGATAGAAATGTTGCTTTTCCAGGGCATGAAGGAAATGTCGTTGAACACTCATATTGGTATCAAGAGGATGGGGGAGCTTGATAGCAAGCCATTTTATGAAGTAATGAAAAGGAAGTATAGTGAGGCTGAAGCAGATGAGAGGGCCTCAGAATTGTGCTCACTTTGGGAGGAGTACCTTAAAGATCCTGAATGGCATCCTATAAAGGTGGTCAACGTTAATGGCAAACATCAGGTATGAAGTTTAAGGCTAAAAAGTTCATACATTTTTCATTGCCCGCACTACGATATTTTTGAAAATACTATGCAACTTAAGTAGTTCTATGAGCTAATCTCTCAAGTTCTTGTAACTTCAAATCTACAACAACAACAACAAAAACAACAACCCCATTAAAATCCCACAAAAAATAGGGTCTGGGGAGTGGGGAGGGTGTGTGTACGCAGACCTTACNCCCCCCCCCCCCCCCCAACTTAAGCACAAGAAAATATGGCAGTTTTGCAATGTTCAAATCTCTCAAGGCCGATTTTGGTATATCAGCTTTACATAAGTGATCGGTGTTCAAAGGAAGAGAGTTTGTGCAATTTCACACTCACTGACTTTCAAAATGAAAAATGATTACTATTTATGTGAAGGACCTCAAAGAGTTTCTGTGAATAATATGTCATTGTTATGAATTAGAGCCTCTTTTTGCATGTTCTAGAAAAAAATGTGAGCTCAGATCTCGGACCAAAGGTGTGTGTACACATGTCGTGTTCACTTCATTTTGTCCTATCGAGACAAACTGGATTGGATATTTTTTAAGAAGTACCAACCCTGAGGTGTATAACTGGGTTTACTGGCCAGAGGTAATATTCCTTCACATAAATCCAAAACTCTATTCAAAACTGACCCTTGAAATATTTGGTTTGATTAGTCATTATGAAACTGTTTGAGTAGTTTTTTTCTACTTTGTGAAAGGGAGTGTGACACGAATAAATGAGGCAGGTAAGTTGATCTAGGAAGTGCTATACGTGTAAGAAACATGCCAAATGATAGAATTTAGGGTGTAAGGGTTACTGGACTGGGCCATAAGACCCTAGGGCGGAATCGTATTAAAAGATTAAATTGAATCGATTACTTAGTTTAACTCAAGAGCTTATAAACTCATTTGTTTTCTCATCAAGCTCTGATGTGGGACTCTTCCTAATACCCTCCCTAAGTGGACAACCGAGCCATTTTGAATCTAACCGGTTAACCACTTGCAAATGAATTCTTGTTCCCGTGAAATACATATTTGAGCCGCAACATCTAGAGGACACTGAGTCGCTGGGTATGGACTTTCAAATGAACAATCGGGTTAAATGGGTCACACGTTATTTTTCATACGGACAACAGAGCTAAAGACTCACGAGCCGCTAGGAGTGAACGTCTAGATGGACATTTTGACAAAAAAGGTGGGCCAAAACCTGCATTGATACCATGATAGAATTTAGGATGGGTAAGGGTTACTGGATGGTTGACTTGGTTCCTTGACATGCTATCGGAGCTTTGGCGACCAAGAGGTCATGAGTTTGAAATTCACTGGCGCCCAATTTTTAAAAAGTTAAGGTTTCATGTGTAAGGCTCAAAGAAGTCACGGCTGTACTTGATTGGGTGTGTTAGAGTATATAAAGACCTTTCCTGAGCTTAGATTCTATCATCACATCACTTGCCACCTTGAAGTAACTTCTTTTCCTGTGTGTGTGGTTCAGGCGGTGATCAATGAAGAAGACGAAAAACTGAGAGACGTGAAGGAAAGTTACGGGGACGAAGTTTACAACGCGGTCATAAAAGCCCTCCTCGAGATAAACGAGTACAACTCGAGCGGGATGTATGTAATTTCAGAGCTATGGAACTTCAAGGAGAGAAGGAGAGCCACCCTCAAGGAAGGGGTTGAGGCTCTGATGAACCAGTGGAAGCACTCCAAATGGAAAAGGGGGATGGATTGATTTATTTGATTTGATGAGTGGACTCGCCTGGCTTGGTTGAACTCAGTGAGTTTGTTGTAACTTGTAACACTAATTCTATTTGTTTTCCCAGAACAAATAATAATCGAGTAATAACCTGTACTCCGGAGTGCGTGTATATATACCTTGTAACGGAGAATCATTTCTATTGTGTGTATTCATGAATTTGATTACAATTTTTATACATTTATTTGTCTTGAGCCCAATTGTCCTCTTTTGTGTTTATATGATCTTTGCCTCGTCCATTTTGTTTGTGACTTATATTCAAGCCATAATAATTGTCTTAATTTTTTCTAGAGTCTTAAAATGAATGTTTCATTTTCTTTAAGAAAATGAATTTGTGATTTAGAATATTTTCTCTCATTTCCATAAATTTTAATCATATATTCTTAACTTTTCACATTTTTTAGGAACGCAGTAAAAGACAAAGTCGGATAATTTTATGGGACATAAGAAGTGTAAATGCCTTGTACATACAATTACATTTTTAGATTTTTTATGATATGCTAATTATTCCTCTAAAGAATACTTAACTTTGTTCATATATCTTTCACTTTTCGCAGGAAAGTTACTACTAATGTGATAATCATCTATCGATTGTACCAAAAATAAATCCATCGATTGTGAATCAAGACATTTTAAAAAAAAATAATGTCACTAATGGGCTGTAAAGTAAAATAGAATAGATCATTTGATGAATTGCACGGTTATGACACCCATTTTGGATGTCATTTTATGACACTTGTCCAATTAGACTCCTACGGTGATACGTTCGAAAAATGATGGTTCTAGTCCTTTTTAATTCTCGATAAATCTCTCCACCCCAATTCAATTCGAACTCATCTCTTTCAATTTCATTTCAAATTTTGTTGACTTTGAGATCCAAACAATTGTATGAGGATTGATCATTTGATGAATCCATTTGTCGCCTTAATTATGAATGTCTTGAAATAAAGTAAAGTGATACTTTAAAAGTATTAATAAATTGATACTTTATTAAGTGATACTTTGAAAATAGTTATGTTGGAGTGTCATATTAACCTTATCGTGTATTGAAAAATTTTATAAGACAATTTTTTTTTAAATAATTTTTATAATGATACATTGATATGCAATGTATTTTTTATTTAATTGATAATTAAAGTTGTAATCCCTATGGTTTCACTTTAAAAAGTTAAAAAAACAATTTGGGCTGGGTCCATACTTGTGTTATACTCACTTTTCTAGCAAAGCAAGGCCTCTCTGTAATCTGTGGACCATTAGCCAGTGGAATAGTGAGACTGCTTCTTCTTTCGGTGGCCGATTCACCTCCGATCTTCCATCGTCGCCGCGGATTAGGGTTACGATCAGGTAGAACCAGAGCCCCCTTTCTTCTATTTTTTTGGTATCTGCGAATCCATTTTTTTACGGAATCACTCGAGATGCATTGTCTTGTACTCTGTCTTAGGGTTTTTGATGGAGTACTGAGATTGCTGTTTGATTTGTTTAGCTGATAATGGCGTTCGCTCTTTGAATTCTGTAGGCTTGAGTAATTTATTCGTCTGATTGTTATGTGAAATTAAGTGTTTCGTGATTTTGCCGGAATATTCCACCCCATTATACTTTGTTTTTGGATAATTTGCGTATGTGAGTACGATTTGGTTCTGCAAATGGATTCTCTGATGAATTGTATTGTCTGCTTCAATTTCTGTTTAGGGGCAAAAATGGCATCCAAGATTAAGCAAGTTTCTGCGAAGGCTTGCGAGTTGACAAGGTTTGTTGCTAAGAACAGTTCGTCCTTCTACAAGCAGGCGCTGGAGCAGAACAAACAGTATATTGTTGAGCCATCCACTGTCGAGAAGTGTAATGAGTTATCCAAACAGCTTTTCTACACTCGTCTTGCCAGGTTACTGTCTGCACCTTTTTTTCTCTCTTTATGGCTGGCTGTATGCGAGTGGGGATACTGGGGAAACAATGCCGTTTCTTTCACTAGAGAATGTAATTGATTATCAAACTATGATTAAGAAAACCTTTGGCAAAGAGGTGAATCTAATTCTAAGTACTTGATTCTGTATCAGATTTGTGTTGATGGGGGTCAATTAATAATTTTTTCAAAGTGTTCAAGATTGATTTTGCTGAAGTTGAAAAAGGAATCAGAATGAAGTGTTTGACATATTCAGTGTTGTAATGTGATTCTGATGAAACATGTGTTGGCAGCCCTTTGCCATTTCTCCTGTCAAGTTGACTCATTGCTTTGTTCACTTAATTTTTACATTAGTTTTTTCATTTTGTGATGTGAGATCTTATCGACAATTGTTATCTTCATATTCACAATAAACTGGATGACATTTAAATATGTCCAAGCTTTCAACATGTCTTTTGACTCTTCAAAGATTACTTTCTAAGTTATGACTTTTTGGGGGTTCTTTAAAAGTACAGATTCACTCCAAAAATCATTTAATACTCTGTATTCTGTATATGAAAATGTTTCAACTTCTTGGGCTTGTGAATTCTTTATGGAAGTGATGGAACTATATGCTGTGTTAATATGCAGAAACTACTCCTGTTTGTGTTTTCTTGAATGAAATTTTTAAAGTTTACTTGAGCATGGGATGCCATTTCCTTGCTGCTTGGTGTGCCACAATCACTCAGGGAACTAAAGTGACGTAGTTGTGGTTGTTTGGGTTTGTGTCGGGCATATTACCTGTCTCCCACAGTTTATTTTCTTAAGAACCGGAAATGGGAAGAACATAACCTCTTCCTGAGGGTTGTCAGTGGTTCTTAAGTCCTTGTTTGTCACTCTACTATATCGCTAGTTCACTTCAGTTCTTTCGATTGGACTGGAGGTAACCGCAGCATGGGGAATGTACCCGTCTCGTCAGAAGGCTCCAAAAGTTGCAACGTTTTTTGTATCGACCAACTCTTTCAACAATTCAACCTTTGGGGACTCAAAGAAGTGTGCCGTTTTCAGTTACTCGTCAAATGGCACTTGGTTCATATCTTTAAGCTACTGATCTATTTGTCACCACTAGCCTGTCTTTATTATCAGTCCAAGCTGCTTCCTAGTTGAAGGCTGATATTAAAGTTTGTTACTGTGTTATCTTCTTTTGCAGATATTTTTTAACTCTGTAATAGGAAGTATATTTTCTAGCTTCGGGCCTAGTCTAACCAATTAAAATAAATATTTATTGATAAATACTGAGTTGTTCAATTGGTAGCTTATATTTTGTGTATTCTTCGCTGTGAACTATATGATTATACTTCTGTATGTATCTATTATCATTCGGTGCATAAATTGTGTTTTTTAATACGACTTAGTGGCATGCCTACTAGTGGTTCTAAGTGGTGGAGGAGAAACTTCGCCACAGGATTCCGAGCTTGACCAAAACAACCCTTCCTCTCCAGTGGGAAATGAGGTTGAGCAGGAGCAGCCACCAGCCAATCCTGGGCCGGAACAAGTGGACCCTCCCACTATACAATCAGTCAGAACTGCTATTACCAGGCCAATAAGTCCAATAAGTAGAGTATTGTACATGCAAACGACCTTAGGGTGCCACCTTCTCTCTCTTCAGGGAAGGTGCCCACTCGAGTGAAAGGCCGACCTTAAAACAGTTTTTCATAGATCACGCATTTCATTAACGAGACAAAAGCAAATTTTGTATCACAAAAACATGTCGCAAAACTTCTTATTTGCACTACCTAAAAATATGTTGGTTAAAAATTTAATGGGAAAAAGTGAAAGGATCCATATTCCCTATATAGAAAAAGATCTCGATAGAAAATATTTGAGTTTTGAAAATATTCAATTTTCTATCATTCACCTTTCAATATTTGTTGATTTTTGCCAGTATATGCTTTCCTCACCCTTTGGTTATGTACAGTATTCCTGGACGTTATAACGCATTTTGGAAGGAGATCGATTACGTCAAGAACATGTTGAAGAACAGGCAAGACTTGAAGGTTGAGCATGCCAGTATCGCAGCTTTATTTGGTCTGGAGTGCTTTGCATGGTTTTGTGCTGGAGAGATTGCCGGAAGAGGATTTACATTCACGGGATACTATCCTTGAAAATGATCTATTGATAGGTACGATCTTTATGTTTTGGTTTAGATGATTCGAATGTCGATTGTGATCTCTTGCATTGCAAGATTGTTTCCCTGAAATTTTTTTTGAAGCCGAGGAAGTGAGAATTATGTGGCTTACTGTGGCTGTTGCAATAATTAAACTCCTCACACTCTTGAGTGTATACATTGTGTTTGTTTGGTTTGGTGTGATTATATCTGTCAAAATTTATTCCAACCTTGTTTTGACTGACACGAGACTCGACCCGGTAATCACAAGCTTTGAACAAAAAAAATGTGACCTGAACCTAAAACTGGCCTAAGTCCACCCACGAAAAATGGTTCAAACTCTACTGAACCGCTGAGAAGAGTTTTTTTTTTCAAATGATGCACTCTTAATGTAAAAATAGTGTACTGTTTCCTACATATTCCATTTTAATTTACGTCGTTGTATATTGTTTTCTTTTCTAGCGGTTTTCTAAATGGTGTTTTATTGTTTTTTATATTGTTTTTAACACTTTATATCTTTATAAGTTGTATTTACAAAGAATATCATTATAAAACTGCGAAGGAAATGTCAAAAAGTTTCTAATATATATTTGAAAGTTGTATATTCTTGGTAACAATTTGTTATACTGAATATATACAAAAGTTGTATTAATATTATGTTAACTTTATAAGAAAGTATCTCATAAGTACTTGACACAATAAGCATTAACCAATTAAAGTATTTGCATTTTAGCTCATAACTAGTTTCCATGGAAGCCATATTTGTATGCATGGCTTGTCTTGTCTTTGTTGAGTCGAGGACTCCGTATTATGTGCAAGACTGCAAGTATGTTACAACTCTTTGCCCAAACACATGAAATTCACCGAAAATCCTAGCGGAAGTATTGATTGTGCATCAATCTTCACCCCCATCTCCATCGCCATAGCGTGTTAATTCTTCTGGGGAGTACATTCTCATGTCATGTGCTCCCCAGGGATTCATACTCATACCCTAAAGGAACAACAAATAACCGCAAACTCTCATGAGAATAAGGTCGAAGTAAAGAGGGATTTTCTTATTTTTCATGTGGTGGCATCGAGCCAACAACAGTGAATACCTGCATTGATCTTAGTATCTTCTCCATTTCGACATCTTCCTCAGGTTTAGGAACGAAAGATTCTCCCGGTTCCCTATCCTGATTGAAATACAAAGGTTTGTGAGTGTGAAAAACTAAAACTAATTGAGATTCCAAACTTGGTATATC